CCTTCTTTGCAATTTCCATATCCATTTCCTCATTCTCCAATACCAATCTTTAGTCCTCAATTTTCTCCCTAAACCTCAGTCTCTTTCATGGGAAAACGAAAAAATGTGCACTGGATCCGACTCGGAATTCACACAGGATCCTTAATCGAACACTATGTCAGTAGATTTGCACCATGTGGATAACCTTTCACAGCCTGCTTTCAATTCAACCCTAGAATCCCTCTTCAAGCTCCACCTTCAAAGTGAAAACCGTTAGACTGAAAGCTCTGACCACACTCGCCGCCGCCACTGGTAACATTTCCGAGATAATAGTTCTTTTTTTTTTTTAACTTTTTCTTTTACTTTGTTTAATTTTTCACGTTCTTAACCATTTTAGTTTGGTCAACTAATTGTCAAACGGATTATTTCCATCTATTTGAACTCCAGCTGCATATTTATGAAAGAGTATGGACTTTCGCTGGCACGAAATGAAAGTTGGGGTAAAGTTCGCAAAAAATGAAAAGGTTAGGAACCGCCACTGCAATTTTCCCTAAATATTAAATTCAGGATTATAATGTGTTTTTACTGCTGTTGTTATTAAAATTTGATGTCCAGTTTCATTTAATGCAAGTTAAATTAGAATTTATTTCTTGCATAATATAAAGTCGACTTCATGAATCATGCTCGAGAGAGAAAATTGAGAGTTTCATTCAACTTCCTATATTAATTTTTACAGCATAAAGGACAACATTATACAGAATAGAAGACAAAATAAAAATAAAATAAAAAATCTTCGTTAATCTTGTCTCGTTACACCAATAGTTTTGAGGTATTTGAATCGAATAAAAATGTTGCTCGAATGCGACCTCCTTATTTCTAAAGTTATAATTTGAAATTATTTATTGAACTAACTATTTCAGTTTGTTTTCATATAAATGAATTTTAATTCACTATCAAATTTATTTTTCTAATCTCTAAATTTAATTAACCATTCCTTCATAAACAAATAAACTAATTTTTATATTTACATGCATAAATATATAATTTATTGGGGAAATTAGGTCAAATGCTCTAAAAAGTGACTGAATTAGATTAATACCCTAAATTGATTAAACATCACATAAACCCCGTAATAATTACGTCCTAAACTAAAACAAACCCCCAAAACCCAAAATCTCCCAACTAACGGAATACAGAGATCACAAACGTTTAATTCTAAGTTTTTTGTGACCTGATTATAGTTTTTTCTTTTCCTCTCGCGGTTATGTAGGCTCGGAATTCGT